TTGGAAGTGCCTTGGCAGTCTGCTCGGAAATTGTGATTTTTTCGAATAACAGTTATGGTAATATCAGGTTTCTGTCTGCTAGGGTTTCGCACATTTTCGAACTTTAAATTTGATAGCTCCTCCCACCTATCGAATGCCATCTTGGCTGTATCACGATGCACCTTTTTAGCTTGAGGAAAATACCAGCGTAACTTGGTTTTGTTCCATTTCGAATGTATCATGAAATTATTTTCTCCTACAGAACAACGCGGACTATTCAGCAGTCGTAGAGTTTCGTTATTCAACGATCCACTCACAGGGAGATTGTATGTCTCTTGAAATGTCATTAATGCTGATTCTATATCGGTGACAGCATTATCCGTTGTATTTATGTAACCGAAACGCTTCAAAAAGGCACCTGCATATTCTATCGTATCATTGCCAGTAGCGGAAACTGACGCGATGATTGAAAGCAACAGCAGCAGCACTTGCTCACTCTTCAACATCTTGATTGGTACTGATCAATAGGGAGACGAACATGATTATTATGCTCCTTCTAATCTTCTCCGAACTGAAAATGCCAATGTTATACAGGGTGGCTCGAAAAGAAATACCTTTTTTCAGTGGGGCACCATATGTATAATATTCCTAAGTGTTGATTATCCCTGCCAATATTAACATGTCAACATGACATAGAGGTCTTGATCATTCAGTGGCACTATATTATTATATATTGCTGTACGAGTTAAAACATACCATAGGAAGAATAAATAAATTTGCTATACCGAATGTCTGAAATGGAACATAACCTCAAAGAGCTTTGTCTAGTATTGATGTATGATAGCGTTTTTGGTCATCTGTCATACGTCACACGTCAGGTCATGAGTGCCCTATGTGAGTTTGTATTGCTATTATTGCTGTATATCAAACGGACACTCTATCATACGTATGTTTTGCTGAGTGTACCTGTGAGACGCCCTATTTCTTATCGCTATTGCTAACTCAAACATCCAGTGACATAGAGGTCTTGATCATTCAGTGGCACTATATTATTATATATTGCTGTACGAGTTAAAACATACCATAGGAAGAATAAATAAATTTGCTATACCGAATGTCTGAAATGGAACAAAACCTCAAAGAGCTTTGTCTAGTATTGATGTATGATAGCGTTTTTTTTTTGGTCATCTGTCATACGTCACACGTCAGGTCATGAGTGCCCTATGTGAGTTTGTATTGCTATTATTGCTGTATATCAAACGGACACTCTATCATACGTATGTTTTGCTGAGTGTACCTGTGAGACGCCCTATTTCTTATCGCTATTGCTAACTCAAACATCCAGTATATTAAATTATTAGGTAGCGGTACTTGCAGGTCATCTAGTCACGTCGTGTCATCAATCCTTTGTTAACTGTCAAATGTCTTATGTAATACGTCAGCTGTCTAATCCCGCAAAAGTGGGTGAGGCGTCCAGTATATTTTTTGACTGTTATCCAACTCAAACGCCCTGTATATATCATGTTATAGCGGGTAGCCTTTATATGTAGGTCGGAGAGGTATAACGCCTTTTTGGGTTCACTCTATATTTTTTTCCCAACTATTACCCAACTCAAACACCTTGTATATAGCCGTTGTTAAGTGAAAAATGGGAATGAAATGCGCGTCGTTATCTCTAGAACGCATCTCTCGCTTCACTGTACCTCGATAGATCCGTTGCAAAGATAAGCGCGCACCAGCGATGGATATTATTTTCGACTCGAAGTTTCTTATCTCTGGAATGCATCTCTCGCTTCACTGTACCTCGATAGATCCGTTGCAAAGATAAGCGCGCACCAGCGATGGATATTATTTTCGACTCGAAGTTTCTTATCTCTGGAATGCATCTCTCGCTTCACTCTACCTCGATGGATCCGTTGCAAAGATAAGCGCGCGCCAGCAATGGATATCCCCTTTGAATAGCATTAAAATAATTGAAATATCACGGAGGTCGGAATACCACAGTGCGTATACAGGGTGGCCCACATTTCGTTGTCCCACTATTGCTATCTCTGAAACGGTTAGAGATAGAAAGTTGGTTAAATGGAACAAAAGTTGCACATTTTGGGGAACATAAGAATTATGTCTAAAAATCAACGATATCATGAGCCGTTTCCGAGATAATTGAGAAAAAACAAAATTGTCGATTTTCGTTTTCAGGCGCTAGCCCTTTTATTTCAAGAAATAGAAAAAAACCACACAGACATTTTTTCTTCTATTTTATATGTTCTTTAATCTGGTAATATCAGATTTTTGATACAACGTTTCGTTCATCCAGGGCCACCCTCAACTTTTTATTTTTTAAATACGGACCTGATATATTTTTTTTCTTAATAAATTGGCCTTTTTATTCTGTATACAGACATGTATCACACTATGAGTATAACCCCACTAATATCATTTTGAAAAAGGTAAAGCCAAAAAGTCAACATTTTGAAATACGGACCTGATATATTTTTTAATAAATTGGCCTTTTCTTTCTGTATACAGACATGTATCACACTATGAGTATATGGATCATGAGAATTGTTCGAAATGACTTCCACCATTCTGTACACAAAGATTGACTCTCGTTGATATCTGTTCCGTTGCTTTCCTTACCATTTCTGGCGTAATTGACTGGAAAGCCACAACAATTTTTTGTCTCAGCCCTCCTAAATCTGTGATGGGATTATCGTAGATCATATTCTTTAAAGCACCCCACAGAAAATAGTCCAAAGGATTCAAACATGGAGATCGGGGCGGCCACCTTACTGGACCGTTAGTTCCAATCCATCGTCTAGGAAATCGCGCGTTCAAAAAATCCCGTACAATTCTTGCATTATGGGCTCCACATCCATCTTGCTGGAACCATAATTGCCGACGAACTTCTAGAGGCAATTCGTCGAACTCATTTTCCAGATTGTTTCGGAGCAAATCTAAGTATTTAACTCCGTTCAACATATTTTCAATAAATATTGGTCCAATTATCCTATTATCCAGCAAACCACACCATAAATTAATAGAGAAGCGTCTTTGAGGCATCGTTTCTTGAATTAAATGAGGATTTTGTTGAGCATAGATGTGTTTATTCCTTCTGTTGAATATTCCGCAATTAGTGAAGGTAGTTTCATCGCTCCATGAAATGTATTTTGGTAAATCAATATTGCGGGTCAAACATCTATTGAACCACTCACAAAAGACAATTCTTCTTGCAGGATCCCCTTGATGTAGAGTTTGAACCTTTTTGAATTTATAGTCGTGGTATTTGTGCTCTTTTAAAATGCGGTTGACTGTCGTTTTTGAAGTATTGCATAAACGAGCAATATTTCTGGAAGAATTTTCAGGGTTTAAAGCAATTTGAGCAAGAACATTTACTTCACTCACTGTGGGTTGGACCTGGTATCTAGTTCTTGCTTGATTAACACATCCGTATCTAGTCATATTCATTGAAATTCGTCGAAAGGTTTTTTTGCTGGGTTGACGTCGTTCTGGATATAAATTCATGTAGTGATTGACAGCTTCAGCTGAATTTCTGAAGCATCGTATGTAGATTTCATCTCTTTTCTCGTCAGTGGAATACATTTGAGGCATTACGATAACTAACAAGATGTCAAACATTGACATTTGTTTCGACTTATTTACTATTAGCCTACTTGACAAAATCCGATGCATTGTTCTGGTGGTTCAACGCAACATTCTTCCAAGATTGTCCTTATAAAGAAATTGTTTGATTCCAAATTTGTTAGGCGATTATTTGAAATATTATTATTATCATGAAGCAATAATATTCATAATCGATTATTGTACATGATGAAGGTAGCGATAGAAACGCAAAAAATACAGAGAGTCTGTATACAGATTGAGAAGGCCAATTTATTAAAAAATATATCAGGTCTGTATTTCAAAATATTGACTTCTTGGCTTTACCTTTTTCAAAATGATATTAGTGGGGTTATACTCATAGTGTGATACATGTCTGTATACAGAATGAAAAGGCCAATTTATTAAGCGAAAAAAAATATCAGGTCCGTATTTGAAAAAAAAAAGTTGAGGGTGGCCCTGGATGAACGAAACGTTGTATCAAAAATCTGATATTACCAGATTTATGAACATATAAAATAGAAGAAAAAATGTCCGTGTGTTTTTTTTTCATTTCCCGAAATGAAAGGGCTAGCGCCTGAAAACGAAAATCGACAATTTTGTTTTTTCTCAATTATCTCGGAAACGGCTCATGATGTCGTTGATTTTTTGACATAATTCTTATGTCCCCCGAAATGTCTAACTTTTGTTTCATTTAACCAACTTTCTATCTCTAACCGTTTCAGAGATAGCAATAGTGGGACAACGAAATGTGGGCCACCCTGTATACGCTGCCTCATAATGCAAAGGTCCCTGGTTCAATTTCCCCCCAGCGGTGACAGCTTTTTTTTAATTTATTTATTCACGATGGCGACGTGACGACGTATGAATAATTTGAATTTCGCGCTGGTGTTTAGTGGGCGTGGCCTCCAACCAAATGCTGGTCTCTGATTGGCTAGCCGAGTCACGTGGTTTGGAGAAAAGTGGAGTGGAGGGGCTGGACTGGAGTGGCGCGACCACTACTCCTATGGTTCTCCTGTACTTGACAATTATAGGCTTACATTTCACGATATAGAGTACTTCGCCCATGACTCGTCCCATATAACCTGTAGTTTCCTTCACAAGGTGACCCACGAGATCAGGTGATTGTAAAGCCATAGTGATCCATTTTTGTAGAATCTTCTCTCTCAATTGACACCTTCTCATGATGGCATCGTAGACAACATCAGCCATTTGTCTCTTGACAGCAATTTCCAAATAAAGCAATTTGCTGAGTACATGCATCATCATACCTGTATTTTGAGGTAGTCTGAGTGATTTTCGGTAGAAAAATCCTAACGAATCTTCCAAAATTACTAACAAACGATTTTGTTCGGTCTGCCAAGCTCGTTGATGACATAGATCTTCTGACTCTATTAATTTCAGAGCGAAAACGATATCTTCGGTGTCCACGATCCACCTACGTAAAATGTTGGTGGATCCTTGCTAAGTGTGAGCAATTTTGCATTTCCTCCATAAAGCACATCAACACCACTGTTTGTGCACTGATCAGCGATTTTCGGTTTCCATATCGCCTTTCCGGAGAAATCATCAAAACAGGATCCATCATTATAAGGACATATGGTTTCCGAACGAAGATTCACGACATTACGTTCGACATCCGCGGTGGTGAAATAATCGGACATCTTGATTGTTATCGCGGCCGACACGACGACGTTTTTGTACGAGATATCTCCGACGGTGAATTTGATACTTTCGCATTTTCCGCTCATGTCGAGGTGTCCTTGAAAGGTTGTTGATACTTCCGTGGTCCCGTTGAGGCTGATCTTGCTGATGATGCCGCCGCCTATTCTTCGAATATTCAAGTGCCGGAACTGATGAGCCTTGAGGCACGTCTCGGCAGAGACGTAGTGGACGTACTTCCCTAGGCCTCCTGCGACGCTGCTGGTATGGGAGTGCATTCCGTAGTACTGGATGAACTGCTGCACCATGACGAGGCAAGTGTAGACCTGGACTCCTACGTACTGTTGCTTCTGGATGAGCTGGATCTTCCTTCTCGTAGTCTCCGTGGCATTCCTTGGGTCGAGGCACGGCTTCACTCTCAGCGAGGACAGATTAGTCAGCTCCACTGACTCGTCCTGGCAATCATAGGCAATGATGTGTCCTCGTGTAAGGCTTAACAGCTTAACGAACACTAGACACAGAGCTAGCAACATATTCTGAAACATATTAAATTGTTATTTTCCGTTATCTACTCTGAAAAAAATTGTCAATGAGCTATTATACATGAGTGAAATTGTCATTATATTCTATTTTTACTTATCCACGGATAATCTCGTGCCGGTCCTTGACTTCTCGTTTATCGTTGATTGTTCTCGTTCCTCATTTGTGGTACTTGTGCTGTAGAATTTTCTATTTCTGTTTCCATTTCACCTTCATTTTCTATACTATTTTCGAATCTACTTTCTGCATTAGCCGATTCAGATGCGAAGGAGTGAAATTCTTCTATTTCGGGATTTTCTAGCAAGTTGTCTTCATTTTCACTTGAATTTTTTTCATTTTCCGTTTCATTTTCCGTTTCACTTGTTGTTTCGTCATTATCTTCTTCTTCTTTTTCCTCAATTTCTGCTTCTTATTCGGCATGATTTTCTTCATTTTCTGACTCGTTTACTGTAGTTTCCAGGGACGGCGTATTATTGATTTGCGGGTTTGATGTCCCATTTTCCACTTGTCGATTGATTCTTCGCGTACATTCTCCCATCATGTGGTGACCCGTGGTATTTCTATGCTTTATCGGGATATTTCCTAATTGATTAAAATTTGTTTCCGTCGGTTTTAATCGATTGACGTGCACTTTTTTTCTCGTCAGTCCCGTGTATCTCCTTCACAGTTGCACTAACTCCTCGTAGCTCTATTATGCGGTACGGTTCATCAAGTTTCCGGCTGTTTCCAGGTGCAGTGGCGGGGTTATTTACATAAACTCGATCTCCTTCCTCATATTTCACCGGGGCGCTCTTCTTATTGAATTGGTTATGTACCTTCTCAGTCGTTTTTTCCATCGTGTCTAATGCATTTCTATTTCTTTGGATGAATTAAGATACGTAATTCGCATCGGTGTCATATTTTACCCGCAAGGGTTTGAAAATTTCATCAAAAGGATATTCCACATCTCTACCGAATAGTAGAGAAAATGGGCTTTCTCCGGTTGATTTATGTGTCATCGATGAGTAGGCTGCTAACGCAAAGGGCAGCCACTCATCACAATCTCTTTGATCCGGTCGAATATAATGACTTGATAAGTCTTTCAAAGTTCTGTGGAATCTTTCAAATGCACCATTTGTTTGATGTCTATAGGCGGTTGTTTTCAAATGTTTGATCTGTAAAATTTCACAAATATTTTCCATGAGTTTCGACGTGAAATTGGTTCCTAAGTCCGTTAAAAGTTGTCTTGGTGTTCCATGTCTGAGTATAATTCCTTTAACAAAAGTTTTTGCAACTGTACTCGCCGTCTGATCCATCATGGGAAAAGCTTCCACATACTTCGTTGAAGAATCCTGAACCGTTAAAATATATTTATTTCCTGCTAATGTAACGGGTAATGGTCCTACAACATCCATAGCGATTCTAAAAAATGTTTTTTTCGGCATTTCTATTTTTTGTAAAGGTGCTGGTTTCAAATGTAGCGAAGTTTTTCTACTTTGATGTCATCGTACATTCTTTGCCAAGTGTCCTGACGAAGGTAAATCATGATATAATTGTGCAGAATACTCGGAACTAAAGCGCGAGGCGCTACTAAATTATCTTCATATCGACTATCTTGCGATTTCTTGTATAAAAGTACATCTAAATCCAGATAGTATTCGTGAGTCGAATTGTTCTCGATGAGCTGAATCAGTTTTAAAATTTTTGTATGAGACCTCTGACATTTTTTAATATTTCCCCTATTCCAAATCGGTAACAACTCGTCTAATTCCGTCAAACAACGGACTACCTCACGTGTGATTTTTATTCTTGACATTGCATCCACATTTCCATGTTTCTTCCCTGGCTTATAGTAGATCTGAAAAGTGTACTCCGTTAGGGCTAATGACCACCTCATAAGCCGACTGTTTGGTTCTTTCACACTCATTAACCATTTGAGCGGTTGATGATCAGTATAGACAATTAATTCGGCTCCGTAAAGATGACACCTGAAATGTTTTATGCTCCATACCAAAGCTTAACACTCTCGTTCCGTAGTATGGTAATTTTTTTCAGCTTTTGTCAATTGTCTACTCGCATATGCTATTGGCAATTCCTGTCCCTCGTATTCCTGACTAAGTACTGCTCCAATAGCGTATCCAGAGGCATCGGTTGATAATACAAATTTCTTGGAAAAATTTGGATATTTTGAAACTGGTTCTGTTATGAGTCATTTTTTCAGTCGTTCGAATGCTTCTTTACATTGATCGTTCCAAACATATTTCACATCTTTCTTAGTGAGATTTGTCAATGGCAGGGCTTCTATGCAAAATTTGGTATACATCGACGATAATATCTCGTTAGTCCTAAAAATGCTCTGATTTCAGATATGTTCTGGGATGGAGGATATTCATTTACTGCTGAAATTTTTCCAGGGTCGGGTTTCACTCCATCTTTGAATATTATGTGTCCTAAATAAGGTGTTTCAGATTTCAAGAATGAACATTTCGCTAAGTTTAATGTCCCATCCCTGATTCTGTCGAAAATGTCCTTCAGTTTTCCAATATGTTCGTTTATATTGTTTCGTGACAAACAGATTATGTCATCGAGATACACAAAACATTGGGATCCAGTCAGTCCCGACAATACCATGTACATCAATCTCATGAAAGTACTCGGCACATTCGCCAATCCGAAAGGTATGCGATTACATTCGTATAATGTCCCCAGGGTACGCAGTTTTTTTCCTATCTCTTGGGTCGATTTCTACCTGTCAATATCCTCTACTCATATCAAGTGTGCTGAAAATTTCTGCACCTCCTAATGAGTCAACTGTTTCATTGATATTTGCGATCGGGAAGAAGTCTCTTTTTGTCACAGCATTTAATCCTCGGAAATGCAGAATCTATATTTCTTCTCTACATCTGTTGATTTTTTCTCTACAATAACTACAAGGGCACTGAAAGGTGATACTGATGGTCTGATTATGTCATCTTTCAACATTTCTTCAACTTGGTTTTTAACTAACTCTTGCTGGCGAGACGGAACGCGATAGGGTGGTATAAACAGGTGCGCTGTTACCTATATCAATGGTGTGCTGTATCAATTTTGTAGCCTTTGATGGTTCATTTTCCTCGGCGAATACATCTCTATATTTACTCAAAAACTCCTTCATTTTCTTTCTATCAGCAACTGGTAAATGTTTTAGAATTTCCTCGTAGGTCTTACTTATGCCTTTATACAACCGTCGTACTTCTATACTCGAAGTTTCAGAATCGTCTTTCTCCACTGTCGCGTCTGTTAACCTCAGAATCGGACACTTCTTCCCTATAGTCTGTGCGACAGGAGAAGCATTAAGAATCAGTACCACAATTTCCTTTTTCTTATGGGGAGAATTAGGTGGTATAGTAACCACAGATCGGGCGACACATGGGCGACACATATTCCAGGGGTGAGGGGTATTGGTTCACAAACTTTCATGCCTTCGTAGACGCGCTTTTCTACTTGGACACGCGAGTCGCAACCTTGAAAAGCCGTGTTCGCGTTCGACAGGGTCTTGTACCGTGTCTAAAAGGAGTGTCTTTGGTGAGGTTGACCGTACCTCACCTAACGTGGCCGGTGCACATTGACTTTTGGACATGATCTCGCGCAATGACATTTCAAAGGGGTACTGTCCATCTCCTTTTTGCACTCCACCTATTCCCGTAATACTAGCTCAACTCAGGGGAGGTGTGCGAACGAGTGCTGGGTTCGAGATTCAAAACATCTTTAATATCCTATTCGTCTCTGATGACACTAATGACAAAGATAATTCACCGAGGGATAATGACTAAGGCACAAAGCAGCAGGTGGTGTCAAAATATATTGAGCACTCCTCGTATAGTGAATACGGCGCCGCACCTCGTACTGATGTCGCAGCGCCGATATAAAAATTATCTCATCTACGACGTCGAAATAACACAAACTGAATAAGATTTATTGAGAAAGGGAAGAAAAATCAACTAAATTAATTACTGAACGGAAACAGGCAAAGCACAAAATTATATAATTTTATACAAGGGCGAGCTTAGGATCAAGGACTTGAAATGGAATCTTCAACAAACACGGTCAAGTCCGGGTACCTTCAATAACGTAGAAGACAACGCCCTGAAGGAAAAAAAAATCTACAATAGAAATCCCGCAATACCAAACAAAAGGAAGCAACTTAGAAATGAGTTAACGCCATTCGATCTTGAAGTTCTGGGAGACCCCGCATAAAACAGTCCTGTACTCAACGACTCACCCTGTATGTCTTCTTAGCAGTCCCGCGCACGTTATACACGATCTCGGACTTCTGCAACGCTGCCGAGACTTCTGTAAAAATTGCTGTCCGCGAAAATAGCACTGTGTGGCAACCGAGTGCTGTCCTCAGAATAATCCGCGCCGACTCTTCAAATCTCGGTGGAGGGGACCACAACGCTTGGATTTTCACACGAACGACGTGAGCTCCGAGCTCCAGAGTCCAGATACGCGGCCACACACAATACACAACACAACACCGGTTGGTTCGTTCCTTTCCCGGTATTAAAAATAAAAGTTCGCCACAAACGGATAATAAGATGCTTCAGGGTAGCACTAGAGATGGAATATCGTAAGCCTTAGGCTGTGGTATCGTAGCCGAGACTCGAACGATCTCGACCAGCGTTTTTTTTTCAAACGTGGGATTGCTTCCCGTTTCACCAGGATACGAGGATCACTTGACGAAAATCACAGCTGCGATGAACACTAGGGCACGACGGTAGCTCACTGGAGGACCCGAAGTGGCAACGGGTGCAAACTTCGAAATATCCACAAAACAGGCGATGAAACACTCGCCAAAAGCCGGGAGCGAAAGCTAAACACCCGACAGAGTTTCTGTAATCAGAGGTCAGAGGTTCGTAACGAACTCATCGCGATTCGGTTATGCTGTTCGTCACGTACGCCAAACCGTCTCAGCGCGTCTTTTTGGTTTTCTCGCCATATCACGTGAACCAATAAGGAGTTTGCATTTTTCATCCCCGCCATGCGATGATGCGATGTTGATGTCAGCGTCGATAGGAATTTGAGGGATCTCTCAAGAACGCGGATGCCATTCAAATATGAAAACTAACAAAGCCTCAAAAAAAAAACGAAAAAACCGCTAGACAAGAATATGTCTACCAGAATTATAAAAAAAAACAAAAAACCTCAGTTAGACTTCCTAACAAAGCTAAAACGGGGAGCATAAAAAAAAACAAATTTTGGGCTGAAGCATCGGTAAATCGAAAAGAAAACGATACGATTTCTGATGACAGTCGGTACTACCAATTTTTCTCTCATCCTTACTAGGCTAGGATTTTTAAAATTATTATTCCACCCGGTTGCCTCAACTTGGTTGATTCCTGTTTATTGAGAGAACTGTGGTAGGAAACCTCCTTATTATCAGTATATACAAACTCTTGGTGGCGGCCGTAGGAATCTTCAACGAGGCAGGTACCTCTTCCAGAGGACACAAGTTGATAGAGTAGTGACAATGACTCCCTCTGTCAAAGAGGTGCGGGATGGCATTACTATGAAACAAACCCTCATTTGAATTCTTCATTTGTGTCTTATTTTGCCCTCTATTGATTTCAGAATTTTCTTGCGAGTCTAATTATGGTCGTCTTCATAACCCTCTCTTTCGGGGTGATTCAAATTTTTACCTCCGAACATCATAGTGTTGTTTTGATTTTCTGGAACCCAATCTTGTTCCATAGCACTGAAGATTTTTTCTGGAAATTCTTGTAATTCGGACGGCTGATAATTTTTTTGAATTCCTTCATTCTCACCATGCATTGAAATTTCGAATCCTTTTATCTTCGTTATACTCCGACTGAAATCCATGATAGGTTGAAACTTATTCAAAAAATGTAACCCTATCAATCTATCTGTAGTGAATTTCAATTCGTCTTTACACACAACAAATTCGTGTGTTATACACTCCCGAGAAAACTGGAATTTTATTTTTACTGAACCCTTTTCATTCAGAACATCACCAGAAATATCTGATTACTGTCGCAACATTCGGATTCACAGTAAGTTTCAATCTTTTGGCTAATTTCTCCTTTACTAACGAGATAGTAGCTCCACTATCTACTAGCCAAGTTGTACGCATATTTTGAGTGAATAGCTCGATTTTTTCTGATGACGGGTTGATTAGATTAGGGTCGTTTAAAAACTAGCAAACTTCTCCAACTTTACCGCAATGGAAGCAGAATAACTTTCGGTTATTTGGACACCGTGGCGGTAAATGACCTTCTTCACCACATCTCCTGCAACGGTTACTTATGTACGGAAATCTTGGAGCCAACTCAGATTGGAGTTGTCTGAAGTTCCGATTTCCACCACGCATAAACCTTCCACGCTGCATGCTTCTACCTCGAAAGTTCCGTCCTCGCCCTTGACTTGCATTTCCTCCTTGAAAAATGATTGAAGAAGTTGCTTCCTCTGAACTTTCTATTCTTCGAACGGAGTTCATCATGACATCATATCGAGTTTTCGGTATCATTCTTGTCACAATTTCTTCACATTCTTCCGCCACTTCTAAACAGGCGTCTAACTCATAAAACTCTCCTGAGCGAAAACCTTCCTGAACCACTCGTTCATTTCATCCAGAGTTTTCGGTCTTTCCTGCGGTAGTAATGCAGCATAATACTGTATCGCTTTATCCTTGAGCTTGATCTCGATAGCTTTCACAATTTGTGCCTCTGACCAACTATACTGCACTCATACACTTGTTACTGCTGCGACAAACATTTCATAATCTGGTCCACCACTGAAACTTTCAATCTGAGACACATCGTTATTTTCCCCTAACGATACATTTCTGAGATAAAAATTCAGATCGCTGAGTCATCGTGTCGACTTTTGGTGCCGAAGTCCCCGAGGAAATACTGGCTGAGCTTGCATTGGCGGTACTGGATGTTGTATCGGTGGTGTTATATTTCCTGTTGGTCCGTTGAAAGTGCATAGGTGGAGACGACATTTTGCTGTTTTGAAATTCCAATAACCCTTTTTGTTCATTTCCTCTATTACCCTATCAATATCCCTATTATATACGAATTCAAACAAACTGACCTATATTTTCCTTAATTCTTATTGACAACCTTTCTCTACCTGCCTGAATAATAACGAATTTCATATTCCTGCAAGAAAAACCCTTATTCAATCAAAGCAGAATTATCGAATAATAAATATTGAAAATTAAATTGCCCTGTAAGAGATTTATGACACCACAACAATGATTTACCATAACAATCGAAGCAAAAGGCTAACACTTGTAGCCTCTACACAGACGAAATAGAAAGAAAGATGCACTATCTATTGACATTGACTCGGCGTCCTCTGGAGTTTTCTGAAAGAGATCAACCTTAGGCAAAGAAACTATAAAGAATATAGTTTTCGAGTTTTCGTTTCAAAATTCTGACTGACTTTGTTTTAGTAGGTACTCTTGAAATTCCAGATTGTCACACAAAAAAAACATGATTATCTTTAAAACATTTTTCCCATCTTCTTCATTTGTCTATAGTTTGTTTTTATTTACAACAGCCTTTTAGAAATCAGATTCACAATATTTTTTTCCTCTTCCATTTCTTTATTTATTATCTCTGTTTTTGTTTCGGAGTTATATTTCTTCATCAAATTTATTACTTGACGAAATTCCGTCATATGTCAAATTCCTTCGATAATTATGACTCTAAATTAGAGTTTAATCGGTTCACAAGTCATGACTAGTTATCTTTATTATCATTACTCTCCAATTCTTCGTCAATTTCGACTATTCTCATGAATACTTGATTCACAGCTGGGCTGGTGGCCGTGAGCGTAGAGTCGCTGGCTGTCGCCCAGGCGGTCCGGGTTCGATCCCCGGCGCGAGCACTGAATTAATTTTCGGTAGTTTCGTTGGGCGGGAGGAGATAGGTGGCCAACCCAACATTCTTGGTACCTAGATATCAATCCTTTGGACTGTCCACGGTTACCAGCCGAGTAGTGCTTCGGATGACACTTAAAAAGCTAAGGTCCCCGTCTTCTTAACTCACACAAGTCTCTGACTTTCGAGGGTTGCTTTGCAACTAAGCTGGCGGTTAAAAACACTTTTTTTTTTTTTTTAAACACACTTTTAAAACACTTTCATAATTCACTTTTGTAATAACAGAGCACTCATAATAAAACACATAATTAACGCCGATGCATGATAGTTCTATTTTTATTTTCGAATGATCAAATCGCGCCAAAAAGTCCCTCGCTAACCTAACATTAACCTCACTTTATCCTAACCTCTTCTTTTTTTTCTTACGTTTGTACATAAGGACAAAGACAGGGGCGGCGACTACAGTTCGACCATCCTGACTATACTGATTGACTGACCTCAATCAGGTGCCCATAAATTCACATAAAACACATAAAGTTAACTCATGATACAAAGGCAGTATAAAACTCATGAAACTAGCTCATAATACGTCAGTAGCACAAAACTCATGAAACATAAGTAATCTCACATAAGATTCATAAATATGACAAAAGACGTAAATTCAAACAACTTTTCTCCCACATAAATGGAGGCTAAAGTTAACATAATAATTCTGAGATAATAATACATAAATGTACAAGTATCAAGATATTTGAATCATAACCATCTACACAAAACAACACTAATTGGACATTTTTGACATGCTTTGAATATTGAAATACTCTTTTATTTTCTTAAGATTCTGAAGACAGCCACAATTTCATGTTTTCAGCACAACAGATACCTTCAAATGGCATTTGAGTCAGTTGGAAATCCTCAACATCTGTTATCAAGTACCTATCATTTCCTAAAATTTTCCTGACCTCGTAAAGTCCTCTAAATTTAGGTATCAGTTTTTTGTTAGTACCTGCAGTGACATCATAATTTTTAATCATAACATAATCGCCTATAATATATATGTGTGGATTTTTATGTTTGTTGTCAAACTGTACTTTGTTATACTCCTGAACCCTTCCACATTTTCCAGCAGCAGCATGTCTAGCATTCTCCAAGTCAATTTCCTCATCGTTTTCAAGCTCTAAATGATTTCGTAGACTATCATCACCTCTCTGATATACACCAAACAAAAGGATAGATGGCGCTGTTCCTATAGCGTACAAATCGTATTATTAATGGCAAATTCTACTTCAATGCTTTATCCCATTTGTTTTTGGCAACACATTTTTTGGAAATCATTGGAGTTAAATTCCTATTAATCCGCTCTATCTGTCCATTAGATTTTGGTGAGGCTGTAGCTATTTTAACGTGAGTAATATCATATTTATCCACAAAATTTTGGAACTCGTGAGATGTGAAAGCAGATCCACGGTCAGAAATAATTCTGATGGGTTTGCTAAAATTCTGAAAATAATTCTCCAATTTATGAATTGCTTCAAAACTCTTTGTAGATTTTACATCATACAGTTTTACAAATTTAGTAAAACCATCTATCACCTCAAAAATGAATTTCTTTCCTGATGGTGTTTTCTCTAGTGGGCCATAATGGT